CCTTGAAGTAAAGTGTTTAAAGAATTTACGTAGAAAAATAATGTGATATGATACGGGACAAGGTGGTCTACTCGTGCAGTGACTTATCACATCATCAAATACGGAATATAAATTAATTTAAAAATATATTACGTTTTTTGTTTTTGTTTTTGGTAGAACGAGTAGAAATCTTATTCGAATAATCTATGATTAGATAACACTCCTGGCTTTTCAACTTAATCTCAGTTTTGATTTTGAATCTCCTTCAAGTGTGAGTGTTAAAAATCGAATTAAATTAATTAGGCTAATTTAATTAAAATTGAATTAATTAAAAATTTTAAAAAATTATTTAATTTAATTTTTAAAATTCTAAAATTGATCAGTTCAATTCATTTTGTTATTGATTTTTTTAAATTAAACTAAATTGAACTGATTACATATGTATAATTTTATTGTATTTGATATAATATATATATATACATAGAGAGAGAGAAGGGAGGAATAGAGTTAAAAACTAAAAAAAAATCTATCTAATTCCTTGTTCGTACGTGCTATTTTAAGAAATTTTTAATTATATTTAGAATATTTAATATTAAAAGGTGTTAAAATTGTAAGAAATTAGAATAATTTTATAATATTTTTAATAAATTTTTTTATTTATTCAATTAATAGGGTTTTATTAATTTTCATCTTAAAAAAAACTTCAAAACTGATCATGTCTAATCAAACCAAATCGATATAATTATTTTTAATTTAATTTAGTTTTGAGGTATTATAAAAATAAATCATGTCTAAAATTATTAAAAATTGATACGTTCAGTTCAACTTAGACAATATCTAAAACCAAACAAAACTTAATTGAGCTCGTGAACACCCTTATCTTCGAGTCCCTTCAATAGTAAACAAGGAGAAATAGAGACAATCTACAAAAATTAAATTATTTACAGTTAAATAAATGATTAAATACATCGTTTTTAATTCCACATAAGCTCATTTTTTGTGTGACCCAGAATTTTATCCCATGATTTCTAATTCCACCCAAATAAGAGATATATATATTTGTGCACTTTTAAAATTTATGATAATAAAATAAAAAATTAATTTTTTAATAATTTAGTTGGTATAAAAAAATATTATCTTAGCGAGCAAGTCTGTTAATAATGGGTCGTACCTGTAGCAACTACGACTGCACCATCTTGTCCAAATCCAATACTGTGATTAAACGAGGCCTGTGGATTAATTAGACTGATGTGGCAAAATTAAAAAACACAAGGGTATATGAGATTTTATTGAAAAGTAGTGGGGTGAATTGGTAATTGAATTTTCTTGTACTCTGGACCGGATGGGTTTCAAAATTGTCATTACTAAGTGGGCTTCCCCACCACAAGATTTGTTCTGTCTCTTTCCATTTTAATATTTTTACCGGGGGGAGGGGGGGGTGGATGGTCGGAATGTTCCTTTTCAAACTGAGGGGGAGATGATTAAAAAACAAAAAGAGTTTATGTTAATTTCCATTCGGTTTGCTAACTTTGTACCGCCAATTGTACCCACTTCATCAATTAATGTCACGAGGCTTCTTGTGGCCCCCTCCCCTGACATTATCAATTCATTGTTTCAGCCCCACCCTTGCTATATAATATATAACACATGCCAAACATTACAACTTTTGGTTCCCTCCTCCACCATATCTATATATATCCTATTGCAATTGGCATAGAGTTATTGCAACAGGCAAACACCCATAATCTCAATCAGTAACGTGTTTAATAAACTAAATTAAATTATTTAAATTGATAAAATTATAATTTAGTTTAATATAATTAGATTTGAATTTTTTTTATACAATTTAATTTAATATTTGATATTTAGACAAATCGTATAAATCAAATTAAAATAATATAATTTATATATATACATAAAATTAAAAATATTATATATATAATTTATTATTATTGTTTAACTGTATATTTATTCTTTTTTTCTCTTTAATATTTATATTTATTCTCATATTAATTTTTTTCTCCAGAGTATAATGTTTATTAATATGAATAAAATTTTGTTATACTGTATAAATATATTTATTATATAATATATAACTACCATACAAATAATTGATAAATAATAAAATTGTCAAGTTAAAGAGATTAAAAAATTTGAATATTGATATTTAGGAAAACTCAGTAGTGAATTTAGTTCCATTTTTATTTTGTAAATCACAAATTACAATTTGAAAATAAATCAAATTATGAATCATAATTTAGTTTGGTTTGATTTTATTTTTAAAAATTATAAATTATAAAATATAATTTGATTTAAATTTAAATATTAAATCGAATCACATCGCACCATCAATATCTCTATCAATCAAAGTGAATTTAATTTGTTTTCATTTCACTCCTCTTTCTATTTTTAAAAATTAACGATTTCAATCTATTTTATCATCTAATTTTAAGCTTATAAATTTTTTGTTTTTCTTAAAAAAAAAATTTTAAACGATCAATATCTACTCCACGACACTCAAAATTTTTGGAGGGGCCCAAATCTCATATGCGCTCTTTTAGTCTGTTGGTTTGCACATTGGACTCGGGAGTATTTCCTTTTGGTTGGTGGGAAGGTAGTTAGAAAGCTAATTGTCATTTAAGCCAGACGGCCGCGAATCTTTTCTGCTGGATACTCTGTCAGAGATGTGGGCCCAAAACGGGCCCTTCAAATCCAGTATCAGTGACAGGAGGGCCGCCTAAGCCCAATAATAAATATGGGCCTTGTCATTTCAATTCTGTCCTAACCGAAAGGACAAAACGACGTTTTTTAAATACCACATATTTTTAGAATATTAAATAACAAATAACACTTTAAATTTTGCTGAATATTTTTTATATGTCATAATCATATTAACACGAAAATAACTATACCGTACCGAAGTTGACCTGCTCAATCTATTTATGATAATATAATATGATACGTTTAATATTTGCTCGTTATATCCTGTCGTATTAATGCCTGCACAACTACTGCTAAATAATAATTTATTAGTAAAATATTAAATACATTTTTTATAATTTTTACTATAAATTATAACAATACATATAAAATGTTAGTTTTAAATAATATAATATAATTTTTAAATCCTTTTTATAATTACTTATTAATTACTTTTTTAAATATGTTGCATCCTGTCAATTCAACACAATTTATCTACTAAATAAATCATTTTAACATGTTTATTAAATATATTTTATTTATATTTCAATCGTTGACATGTTTACTTAATTTTTTGTCATGTTAATATTAATTCATATATGTGTTACAACCGTGTGTTGATTTGACAATTATAGCATACTAACACGAATAGCTTTTACTACTAAACTTAAATTTAATATTTAAAATTAATAATTTATACTGAAAGTAAAAATTTAATTCTTACGTGTAATATTTAAATCATGCTTAAAATGCAAACAATAGGCTTGAATAAAATATTTTAAGTGACGTATAGTACAATAAAATTAATTTTTAATAAAATAAAAATAAAGTGAAATAGAAATAAAATAAAAAATTTTATAAATATATTTGATACACATTGATAGTGTAAAAATTTTATTCTATTATTATATTTGATATGCTGTGAATAAAAATAAGAAAAGAAATTAAAAAAAATTGTTCAAAGATAAAAATATCCTCATTAAAAAAGATTTAAAATTAGAAATAATTTAAATTCTAATATATTGAACATATTAAGGTAAAAAATTTAAAATTTATATTCTAATATTAAAAATATTAAAATTAATTATATATATTATATTATATTGTATTGTATGACACACATATAAATATATATATAATTTATTATATTATATCATATTTATAATATAATATATTAATATATAATATTATAAATACTTATAATTTTATCATTTCTTCAAAAAAATAAAGAGTAATATAATAATTGTTATGAAATTTAAATTCTATCATTAGGATAATAAAATCTAGATTATTTCATTGAGTGAAATCCGAGTTCTTCAAAGAATCAAAATTTCCATTTTAAAGTATCTACAAAATATAATCTTTCAATATTCCTATTTCAATACCCATTTTATTATATCAAAGAATTTTATCATACATGCACCACCTTAGTGACAAAAATAAATATATGGTCCCGACCAAATCCATACGCCCAAAAACTTGCTAGAAACATCCAAATCCAATCCACCACATTACTTTCCAGTTTTAACCGAATAATAATTAGATCTCACGTGTCTGGACTATTGACTTTACAAAATAGACCTATATCCATGGATACGGGTCAGGGTGGGTCGGGGTCGGGTCGCCATGAACCCGACCCACGTTGAAGTAAAATACTTCGCTGAGTTATTTCCCCTCCCAACCAGAATCCAATGCGGCAGAGGCCAGGGTACAGGGGAAAATGAGCGTAATTGCATTCAAGAGGGAACAACTCATCCACTCCCATCTCTTCCCAGATCCAGCATTAAAGCATGGGACCTCCCCCTTTAGAGTTAAACTGCCAGCGCCAGGTATGGTATGCGCAAACAGTCAGGCCCCTGGTCCATAAAATCAGACACCCGTTCTGCCACCTCCATCTCTTAAATTGTCTTGGAGGGCTGTTTGGTTTCACTTTTTAGCCGTAACTTTCTTGAACTTTGAAGGCGGCATTTTCATAACTACGGTAGATTAGTTTGAATGTTTGACAAGTCAGCGCTTCTACATTAGAACCACCAACAGGACAAATTTAAAAAGCTAATTCATTATAATTTAAAAAGATGGCATTTGGGAAAGCAGCTTTTTAAGATGCCAGAAACACAAATATCAACAATGTGAGCCAAAGGAATTTCTTACCATTATTCAATTTCAGCAATTTCAAGAGTCTGCAAAAGGGGCCCATAGTTTTAAATTTTATTTTTTCATTTGGTAACTGGATCTCAGAATAAAATAAACAAATAAATAAAAGTATACAGAGCAAATGTAAGCAGCAGCAAATTTTATCCTCGGATCATGACTAGCAAATTTTATCCTCGGATCATGCCTAGCACAGATGAGACTATATGAAGAGATCCAGTAGCTACAATGATACCTGATTCGTCTTGCGCTTTTGCTTTAAGAATTTGATTTCCCAACCTCATGGATGCCTCTAATGAACTTTGTGTCAATATAACTTGCCGTACTAGTTCACCTGGGGAATGAATTGCTTGCTCCAACAACTTGTCACTGTCTGCAACTCCACAGTCAATAATGTTAATCCCATATCTCTGGAAGCCTGGATCCAACAGTCTTTTAGTATGGATGATGATGTTATTCGGGACTTGGATCCGGCAATATCAACCGCGGTCAAAAAGACAGCTCCAAATTTTTCACTGAAGAAAAGTGGCAAAACTAAGACTATAGTGGAGGTATCAAAATGTTACACCATTTATGCATGTTTTGTTCACATTTACAAAAAAAAATAAATAAATAAATAAGAGTGGCAATGGGAGAGTGAGAGAGGGTTTTATCCATCAATAGATGTAAACATAAAGTTCATGTCTACAAAAATTTGAAAATTTTGGCAACAATTGCTCAATCTCTCTCTCTCCCATCTGCTCACTCCTATTCCACTCTATTCTCCCATTTCGTATCACACACTCGTTATTATTTGTAATAACAAACAAAATACACCTAATTGTTATCAAATACAACCTATCTAAAATAATATCATCATGCGCCTCTTTAGAAGCACAAAGCTGCAGGAGGGTTACACTTTACCAACCCAATTAAGATAAATGGAAGTATGATAATATTTCTTATTTTTCCTAAACTCACAAATGTAATATATTTCCACTTGGCGTTGCTTTTTTTGGACTCGTTTACTCATAGAAGGGAAATTGATCTGAGTGGCTGTTTTAATTTCTTCCCAATAAGCTCCCAATTCAAAGAGAGACTTTTAACCTAAAATACCAAATGGAACCTAAAATAACCACAAAAAATGTAATAAAAATTGGGAGGGTGACAGGGGATAACCTTACCAGAAAGTAGTTCTCTTGCAAAACCTAAATGGTCTTTGTCATTTGCCATAGCAACAACAAGAACCAATTTTTTCTTGGAAATATCATCTGAATTGTGTCAGCCAAGGCTTTGGCAGATTCCTTTGTATGTGCTGTAAAACATAAATGTATAACCATTACAAGTTCTATCCACTGAAAATCAATAGTTATATCAACCAATAATAATGCTTTTACTGACATGACATACAAAGGCTGGTTAAACCAAGATGCAAGAAAAAGATAAGGCAACTGCATCAGACCTCCATCAAGCAAGATGGCAGCTCCAGGAAACTCCCAGTGCTTGAGCTTCCCTGGATGTTAAAAACTGCCCTCTCCCTAGTAAAAATGTGCACTCTAAACCAGCACGAATGGATTCATCTGAAATTTTCCAACCTGCAAGTCCGGAAGAATTTAGTAGATGTAAATTAACCAGCAAAAAGCTATTTCAAAACTCAACTGAATTTCATTTTACAGATGAGCCACTGGAAACCCTTCACTTTTCTAAAGCACACGAGAAGAGCAGGCACAAGATTATTGCTTGATGTGGACCCTGGGCACAGGTGCATGTATATGAAATATGATAATGCTTTTCATAGACAAATTAAGCAATGAACTATTGGAAATAACTAATATGCCAATTAAAAGCAAGCAGTTAATTAAAGATCTTGGCTGAAAATTACATAAGTTATTATTATTATTATTTTAATTCAAGAAGAAGGTTGAGCAAGAGTAGATTTCAAGTGACAGTACAACTTCAATATACAGAAGACATAGATGATCCATGTTGCATGGAAATGGACACATGTCCCAAATCTCACACAAGTGGGAAACATCAGAATGATACATTAGGCACCAACTATATACTTCCATGCATACCTATATATGTTAGGTTACATCAAAAAATCCATGCTAAATGCTTCAATCTGGTGCACATATTCCACAATCCATGCTTAATGCCAAAGCATACCCATTCACATGCAAATCAGTCAGAGAGAGAAAGAGATAGATGGATTCCATTTCAATGTCATAGTTTTTCTACATGTATAAAGCCCCCCATTGCAGAAAAAAAGACTTCTGCTGCAACTCAATAGGAGGCTAGCCCCCCTCTTTCTTCCCCCTCACTCACCTTAGATACTCCCACTGCTCCATTATAGATACAAAATACCTATTTCTACCTGCATAGAAAACCTTATACAATAAGAATAACAGCTCAAATTATTTAAACCAACCCTCACGAAGTGAGTAGCCTCATGGCCAGGGGACACTCTGTATTAAGAAGAAAAGCCAACACTTATCTTCTTGTTGAAGGCTAAAAGGGCAGACTCATGGTCCATCAGATGGCAATTAAAAGAGTGTCAAGTAGTTAGATGACATGATATACGTCCTACAGGAAAAAGAATCTTCAAAAGAACAAGGCAGCAGAAAACTAGATATAAACAAGAGGACATTATTAACTCTCTAACTCATAGATATTATTAGGAAAATACACCCGATAGCTTGAAGCAAAATAAGGATCAATACATGAACTAAATTATCAAGAATGAAAGAACTTGTGGTCCAGCAAAACACAGTTTAGTACTGAGAAAAATGAAGAAGAGTCTGCACCTTGATCACGAAGGCATAAAGCAGCACAAGTGGCAGTTGCAGCATTTTGGAGTTGGTGAGATCCAAGCATTGAGAGTTTTACATCTAACAGTTCAATAAACTGCATATTTCAATACAAAAATTCAAAGTTTACTAACACATGAAAGGCTAACTCTAAGATATTTCACAAAATCCAGTGAATTCTCAGACCAAAAAATTATTGAAGAGAACTAACACCAAATATGCATACCAGTTGAAAGTCCTTCTCGATTTGGATGACTATATCACAAGATTGGCATGGCTTTCCACATAAATTGTTCAGGCCTTTTAATTTACTTCTATTTCCAGGGTCAGATGCAGAAACTACAGGTGAAGACATTGAAGAGGCTTTATCACGAAGAATATGCTCAATGTGTGGAAGAAATGGCCCACCTAGCACCACCTAAAACATTAATTTTGACAATGAAAATTGAGTTTGAGCACCTAGAAGCAAACAAAAATTACAGTCCACATAGACGCCGCCGCAATTAGTATACAATCAAATAATGACAGAACTTCCCCTGTCAAGCAACAGTTTTTTGACTACAATTTATTGCTTTGTCCTATTTGTGTTTCAGAGAATGTACTGACAAGTTAAAATATAAATCAGAAGAAAAAAATTTTCAGCATTTACTGAGAAAGTTCTTTTACCCAATACTTTATTTATTAGAAGCTGAAAAAGATCAGGCCAATCAGCATAATTTAGAGAACCCAAGAGGACCTCAACTTATGCAGATCCAGACTTTAGGTACATTTCGAAAGTTCACATAATAATAGCAATTTCAGATATTTTCTAGCATAAGAATCAAAAATTAAAACTACCAAAATAAAATGGGCATATAGAGCATCAATGATTAAAGTAGTACTAAGCATTAGTAAACATAAGAGAAATTCAATCAAGCCACCATGAGTTAGATGTCTAATAGCATAAATGCTTAAATAATAATCTGTACCGACAGAACCATAAGAAGGCTTCTCTATACATACTCAAGCCTTAGTTGAATATTTTTTCATCTTTAGAGTTTATAGTCATGCATTTCCATTGTCCGAACAAAAATGGTTTACCATTATCTGACAGCAGGTTTCTTTGCTTAACAAAGTTGGTCATAAAAAGTTAAAGAAAATTGTTCATTCTTACTTAAGGAAGACTTGACAAAGAAATTGACAATAAGCTGCCCTCCTCAGATGTAAACATGCAAAATTGACAAGTAAATTGCAAAATGGAGAATTGTACGTAAGTGCTATCAAACTGAAATTACAATAATTTGTAATTTAAAGAACTGCATCAGAGGCAAATATGTTTTAGGAACATGTGGGAAGAACCACCTAACTGGACAGCCATGTTTGATTATTCCTGATTTTGCCACAGCAATGCTTTCCAAAGAACCCCAAGTGCAGCCAGATGTTCTGCACCAACTGATGTTATCACTGAAGCAGCAAGCTCAGAGCTCGAAATAATATTTGTTGCATCCCGTGCTCCCCCCAATCCCGCCTGTTCAAGTGGGAGAGAAAATTCTAGAAAGCTAATTCAGAGGACATAGAAAATATAAACATAGAAAAAAATTACATGCCATGGGACAAACAACAATAACCCCCTGGAGGTTGTTAGGATGTACACTTTCAGCTGTATTCAAAAAAGTTCTGGAACAAGAAAGTTCCATGTGGCATGGTCTGAGTAGAAAATGTAAGTTCCTATCAAGAAGATACAGAGTTAGAGAATTAACCTCGATAACAGCAATATCAACATTCTCCTGAGCAAATAAGCTGAATGCTATACCAGTGAAAACCTGGAAAAAAATCAGATACAAAACCATTACATATTAATAAAAAAACACTGAGAGTACCGTGCATATGGACTAAACAGAAGAACTTGATAGACACATCAATACAAAAAGCACTAACAGGACGAGTGGAAGCTTAGCTTGGACAGTGGGATAGTTCACGGTAAAATGATAGTGAAGTCATGTTTACTTTAAGAACACAACAAAACCACCAAAAATTTGAAAAGAAAAGGAGATGTGCAGAAGAAAGGGGGAGGTCAACTGGAGTTACTATTATATATTGTCAACTGGGAAAATTTAGTTATATCATACATGAATTATTCTCATTTTCCTTTATATATTTTTACAAAAAAGACCCAACCATGTTAATATATATATATATATATAATATTTTAAATTATTGCTCAAATAGATTCACGGTAGTTTGATAAAGATACCTCTTGCAAGGTGTAGAAGTTATTACCTCAAAATGGCTTAGATGCCCATTTTCAAATTTCACAGCCTGATCAAGAAGCTTCTTAATACTTTGGAACAAATAATTCAATGAGTAGATGGAGACTGGCTCGCCTGAGCTTCCTACAGATAAGCGCTCTCTAATGGTTCGAATATGTGGGCTATTCTCAAAGAAAATAATCATCTCGTCATAAAGGTCAAAGATAAAAATTTATGAAATTTAGCAGAGAAAAAGGCTGAAGATTCTTACTTCAGCGAGAATATTTTACAAAATCAAAAACACAGATAATTGGAAAATTGAACATGCCTAGTATAGCATCCAACTGAATAGCCTTGTGCCCTTAAGATGTTGGAGAGAAATGCAGCAGTTGATCCTTTTCCTTTAGTCCCAGCAATGTGAATGGCCTATATTTCATTTTAAGCAAGTTAGAATGCTTGAAGAAGGCTGGTAAGCTCGAGTTCAGAAACCAAGCAAATTCCCCGCCAATGAACGCCCATGTGATGAAAATGAATGACGAAATGGACACCCTCAACAAAAAAATTAACAAATAATAAAACAAAAGCAGAATCATGTCTGAATTTAATAAAATAAGATTAAAGAAAAAGGATTGCAAATAACAAATGTAAGACCTGTTGAATTTGTATTCTATTTTCTATTTTCAGGCGTCATTTTAATATGAATGCATCCGAAATCTTAAAAGCTCCATTTTTCACATATTTCTGGAGTTTGCGAAAATATAATAAATATCTGAAAATTCAGAAAACTTTGCTCTTTTCAAATGTGCCTGTGCTCAGAAAACTCCCGAAACAGTTTCTGAAACCAATATGCCAAAGAGCTTTCTACTTTTGAAAAGAGACAACCGGTTTCAAAAACAAACCAAACATGCTCTTAATCCCAGTTACTAAATATTATTGTCAATTACTACCAAAAAAATTTATATTATTGTAAACTAAAAAGCCTGATTTCTGTCGCTTTGAGGCATTTCATTAAAAAACAAAAAAGCTCTAGAAAAAATAAATAAAAAACCATCTCATTATTTATAGTATACAGAAACAAAGAAAAATTTCACTGGATAACACTGCCTATATCGAGTGGGCGTTCAGTTTTTCCAAGGACCAAACAATGAAAAATATCCGTAATGAATTGGTGTTTATTTTATTTCCTAGATAATTATCCGAAGTCTGGATGGAGCAGAAGTAAATTTGGTTTGGAATTTAAATTCAAACCTTGTATTTGGATTGGGGGTTACCAAGTCGTTCCATTAACCTCCTCATCCTTCCCAGATCGAAACCCTCATCCGAGTCCGTCCCTGCGCCTTTGGGAACCCCAGATTTCTCATAATTCTTCAGATTGTCCAAGTAATCGATGAAATCCTTCAGTTCCGGGTCCTCAGAGTGTGCAGAGAAACCTCGGTGAAATACAAGATTGCCGAAGACCCCACCAGCTCCAAAAGTTGGGGCGTCTCTGCGAATGAAGATGAAACCTCGACTCAGGATCCTAGGAATTTTCATGCTCCTCTTCGTTCGATTTGAAAAGTTTATTTTCCTACTTTATTCTGGGAGAGACCTCGCATGTTAGTGACCGAGCAGTTCCTCGGCAAGCATATTCACTGGCGGGGCTTGTCGTTTATTTTCGCGTTTCTATTTTTTCTATCCACAGCATCATACCATTTTATACTAATACTGATAATTTTTTTTATTTATCAAAATATATATTTTTTTAAAATATATTTTAAATATTATTGACAAATCATTGTCATCTGAATAGACTTCTCAATATATATATATATATATATATATTATTTTTTAAATATTTAAAAAATCAGTTCAATATATTATTTTAAATAATTAATTTTTTAATAATTATAAGTCAATTTTAGAAAAAACTAACTTTTTATACTTTAAAAAAATTTAAATTTATAATTTATAAATAAAATATAAAATATAAATTATTTGACATTATATTAATTTTTATATTAATACAATATATTAATTTATATAATATTATATTTTGTAAAATATTAAATTAAAAATATTAAAATATAATTTAAATATTTAAGAATAAAATATATGATATAATTTTTTTTACTCCTTCATAAGTTGGTTTAAGAAGAACCACTTCTCGAGGATTGTATTTTATTTTACTTACATTTTATATTTCAAAATTTTAAATATGGAAATTTAATTTATAAATGAAATTTATAATTTATACATATAATCTAAAAATAAAAATATGATAATTTAAATTTTAAAAATATAAAATATAAATTATTTTATTTTCTATAAAATATAATATTAAAATTTAAAATATAAGATATACAAGAAATGGTTTCATTGTTTTATATTTTATTTTTAAAAATATTACATATTACATTTTTATTTTATATTGTATTTTTTAAGTTTAAATTATATTTTAATTATTTTTAAACTATAATATAACATGATATAATATAATTATATATATTTTAATTTAAAAATATAAAATTAAAAAATATATGTACAAAAATATTCTATAAATATAATTTTATAATTAAATAAGTTTTAAAAAAATGTAAAATAAAATAAAATAGAACCATGAGAAGTTAGTTGCTCTGGGCCAACTTCAATAGTATAAAACATATTATTTAAAAATTAAATTATTGGAAAAGTTGGTTTAGTTTAAAGCAATTTCTTTATATTTTTTATATTTTTTAAAAATAGTTGAGAAGTTGATTCTAATATAACTGACTTTTTGATTGTTTAAAAAATTAAAAAACATGTTGAAAAATCAATTTTACTAAATCTGTTTCCTAATTATTTTCCAACTCTCTGGAAAAAAAAATGTTGGGATGTGGATAACTGGAACTAATTTTTTAATTATTTTTAAAAAATACATAACCGACTTTCTTAATTATGTTAGAAAAGTAATATAAGAATAGATTACAAAGTTACTTATGGCAAAACTGACTCTTTACTGATCACAAAAAATTACCTTTTAAAAAATATTTAGGTAAAAAAATACAAAATTTATCAATATTAATATACAGAAACCTTGACAGTTTACAAAAATAATGATCAGGAGTGGGTCAATTTAGGAAAAAAAAAGTGATAATACGGATTTATATAATACATATTTTTTAATTTTAACTAGATTTATTAACAATTCACTTGTAATAAAAATAAAACTAGCTAATTGTGTTAAAGAGTTCATCATATACGCTGTAGTATTATTTTTTTACGTAAATTCATACCATGTTAAGGGCAATGATTTATATCAGTTAATGCCAGCATTCTAAGAAATACGTTAATAAATACTTACTAAAAATAATTAATGAAAACAATTCTTAGTTTAACGTATTAGGTAACGTTAACATTCTAAGAATATGTTGATAAATACTTACCAAAAATAATTAATGAAAACAGTTATTAATTTATTGTATTTGCTACAATTCCATTTTTGAAAACAAAAGGCACTAATTTCAATGTCAATTAATCTTATCTCTTCACTATTTGAATTGCATTTCTTGCACAAATTTATATTTTAAAGCACCTATAATAAAAATAATTTCATTAACAATTTATCTGTTCACTCTTCACATTTTTTCTTAATATTTTACTTTTAAGTTGTTAAATTTGCTAACTGTTTTAATTAAAAAAATTTAGTCATAATAAATAAATAAACTAATTTTTTTGAATATTAATCCCTGCATGTAAATTTTGTTGGATATGAGGGCAAATAATTCTTATTTTCCTAAAAACGTAAAAATATAAATATTTTTTGGGGGCTTTTTCCAAGCACCAGGCACGTTGAAGCGAGGTTTTGATCATGTGATACCAAAACATTCCAATACCTGATTATGCCCTCATGACCTAAAAATGCTATTGGTCAATTTATAAAGAGGACGAGGCTCCCAGCTCGAGGTACACGTGGCAATTACTTATTCGATGATAACACGCGCGCACGTGGACTACAGTTTCCTTCGTCGTTCGTGGCCTTCAATTTTACGGTAGACTACGACTTTTGTGTGTGTGTGCGTAAGAGGATTCATTCGCCCTGACCAAACCCTAGATTGATTCCATATGTAAATGATTCATTTCATGCTTTGTTTCAGCACCCTAACGTAAAATAAAATATCTAATAAATAAGTGATATGTATATAAATGTGTAAAATAAATTTATTTTATTTTTTATTTTTAAAATTTATAAAAAAAATATAAGATAATTTAATTTTTTATATTATATTTATAATTTTTTAATTTATTTAGTTAAATATAAAATAAAAAACAAAAAATTAAAATCATAAATCTGCATATATTATTAATTAATTAGGTTGCTAAGGTGGTGCTTTAGTGGAGCAGCACTTAGCATAATAAGATAAACCATGTAAATAGAGTTTTTTTGAACGATTCATTTGATACTAGGTGAGGTAGCACTTAACAAACTAGTAAAAAATAACTATGTGTCTAACTTTTTTAATATAATTTTTGTTTTATATTTAGTGAAATAATAAAAAATTGTATATATAATATTAAATATTAAATTATTTTATAAATAATTAAAATAAATTTATTTTATTTTTTATATTTTTAAAAATAAAAAAATTAAAATTAATATAAAAAAAATTATACTCATGTTTGTTTTTCATTGTTCTACTGAGTGCTGCCGCACCTATCGTCAAATGGACCTTTTTAACCACTCTGCCAGTAAGTTCCCTGTGGGCTATGACTTGTGTGTCTAAGAAGATTCATTAGCCCTGACCAAGCCCTAGAGTGATTCCATATGTATACGGAGTCTCTTTAACAACTCTGCCAGTAGGTTCTCTTCGACTTTCTAGCGCTCTCTCTTTTCTCCTCTGTCACGTTTGGTCGCAGAGAAACTTGGGAAGAACACGAATTTGAGCTCCATATTCATCTTCTGCTGTATAATCGTAAGTTTTCTTTCTAACCAGTTCCTGACGACTGCATTGCACGATAGCACTATTTTGCTATCAAACACCGAATTTACCCACCCCCTTCCCTGTGCCCCCTTGTGAAGTGTTATTATGATTAATTTTTTATCAGTTTCATTTATACCAGCGACCAAATTAGAGCAATATGGCCTCTAATGTGTCGTATTTTCTTAATTTTTCCATCATTTCTCACTTTACGTCAACTTGGATGGGTTCACTTCCCAAATTTCTATTTTTGTAACGGTGTTGTTTGAACGCTGAAGTGAGGTTTTTGGTGGCAGGTTTGGAAGTGTATTGAATGATGGAGTTGGCAGAGATGCGCGTGAAGGTTGATTTGAGAGTGGAGTTGAATGGAATGGAAAGTAATGAAATTTTGACGGCTGGGGTTAGTCCAAAGACAGAATTGGAATGTTATAGAAATGAATGCATAGAATTGGAAAGCAGCAGTAAGGAGGCTGAAGACAGGTGCGCGGCTTTGGAACAGAAAATTGAGAGGAGGAAGAGTGAGTTTGAATTACTCGATGGTAGGTTCACTGCGCTGGAAATCCAAAAGAATGTGATTGAAGAAGAGGTTAGGGTTTTGAAGCAGAGGAATGCTGAACTTGAAAAGCGAATTGCTGAGGTTCAAAATTATGAAAAGGTTGTCCATATAGAGAAAGGAATGCGAGAAGTAGTAGATTTGGCTGAGAATGACGAAGAAAAAATCATTCAGTTGGGGACTGAGAACGAGGTTTTGAAGTGGGAAAAGAAAATAGCGGAGAGCAATCTTGAGGTTTGGGTTCAGAAATGTAGAGAATTGGAGTCACGATTAATAGAAGTGCAGAAGGAGAATTTGGTTTTGAGGCAGGTTGGACATAAAGAGCAGACTAAAGATAGCGGGATGAAAGATGGATTAGATGTAGTAACCAGTTTGAAACATCTGAAAACAGGAAGCAAAATGGCTGATAAAAGTGGAGTCGTGATTGCTGCAACAGGTACAGGCTCAATATATAGTTCCCCTCTTAAGCATATTGTGAACCTTCTATCTAATGACGTTAAAAATTTATTACAATATTCTTTTAACTTCTCTCTCTAGGATGAGAGCTTTCGCCTTTATATTCATTTTCCTGTGTATAGAAGTTTAAAGCTCAAGCCATTCTATTTTTTTTTTCTCTTATTTATTTATTTATTTTTTGGTGGGGGGAGGGTGAATTTTCTCAAATACTTGTTTTGATCATCTGGAATGTGCATGCTGGAAGACAGGAAATCTTGGACCCTAAAGATTTAGTTGTTGTTCTTGTTAATGTAGCTATTATACAGGAATTTTACAGCTTTTCTGTTTCCTATTTCTAGATCATGTATTTTGCCCCACCAAAAGTTTTTTTTTTTTTTTTTTTTTTGGGGGGGGGGGGAGGATGGGTTTCTCGAATATTTATTTGCTCATTTGGAATGTGCATGAAATCTTGGATCAAACATACTGCCATGCATTGAAGATTAATTGCTTTTCTTGTTAATTTATCCAGTGTACATGATTTAAAAAAAAAAAAAAAAAAAAAAAAAAAAAAAAAAAAAAAACTACCCAGTATAGAGGGGGTTTTCTGTTTTCCAGTTCTAGATCATGTACTGCCTTTTGTGAAGACAGATAAGTGGGTACTGTGTAAAGCTGTATTAGATGGCTGTCTATATGTTCTATAACTGGTTTAGACTTCAGAATAAATAATAGCCATTTTTTTTGTGTCTTTGTTCTAACAGATACGCCTTCGGCTGACGTGTTTGTCAGGCAGTCTGAAAAATTAGAGGGAAGAAAAATAGGTTTTTTTGACACTGAAATGGACAATACAAGAGCAAGAAAAAGGTTGGCATTTGGTGAAGAAGGCATTCTGGGCAAGAAGTTGGCTCCATCAACACCAGGTGGTGCAAGACCACCAACTCTTGGGATTATTCAGATCAGTGACAGTGAGGATGATCCAGATGATGAAGTAGCTTGTGTTTCAACTGAATTTCTATCTGGGGGTGCTTTGGGTGGTGCTGTCATTAATATTAGCAAGAAGACTGTTGATGATCAATTGAAGAACAGCAACAGTGATGAGGAAGATATGAATAGTTACAAGCAGAATGTCCTTTTTGTCCCCACTCCCAAAAGGAAAAGAGCTTCCAATGTTGTAACTTCTGAAACTGAGAGTGATGATGACGATGATCTTCCAATTGGTAAGCTCCATACTAAAAGCCTCAAGGAATTAAATCACGAAGACATAGATCTGAATATGACTGCAACTGTTACTAAGGAGAAGGTTAGTGGATCTGCAACTCCAAGGCGGCGCCTAGTGGCATTGAGAAAATGTAGTGTGAAAACTGTACATTCTCCTAGTAACTCTGATAATAAAGTCCTTAAAGATGATGCTTCTGAAAATGATGAAATGAAAGAGGATGTATCAGAGTCTGACACTGAGGGTGAAAGCTTAGGTGGATTCATTGTGGAGAGCTCTGACAAGTCTGATGAGTATGGTGGTGGTTCTATTTCTAGTGCATCAGATGATAAAATGGGATACAATGAAGTTATGTCTAGAATACGGAGAAACAGAGATCATAAAATAAAGTGGGAGTTCGAGGGAGATATGCTTGCAGCATTTGGTAAAGATACTGCACTGTGTATGAGGGCTGTGTGTGCACTTTATAGGCAGCAGACAAGTGATGAAAAGTCTAACAGGTGGACAATACATTCTAACCAGCGAGGCTTTAACCAATGTGACGCACGCAGGTATCGTTTTTAACAATGAACATGCATCCATGAATAGGCATAGTTATCCATTTGCAGCGACTGTTTAAAAGAAAGAGATTTCTCTATTTAGATTAGTTGCATTATCATTTGATGTTATCAAATTGCCACCACTTGGATTTTGAGGACTAGTTAATAATATTTATCCATTCATGGTGTATAATGTTTACAGTATTTATTGCCATCCTTATATTGCATTTATCCATGAGGAAAATATTAGTTCTTATTTGTATCTTACATTAAAAAATGGAGGGACAAATTTCTCTAATAAGTGATTCATTTAGGAGGTATATACCCCCCCCCCCCAAAAAAAAAAAAAAAAATTCAAGTTTCTTACGGGTATGATTCTAACAAACATCCGGGTTTGTCTGCCTTTTGTTTTAAGATCCTACTTGCAGACGCGTGTATATGCCATATTAGATCCACCAGTATTAAGTCCTTTCTTTCGACCCAGGGGCCATACAGGGAGCCAATATTTTTATTCTGAGTTCTGTTGCGAGTCTTGTGACACTGTTTCTGATGGTCAAATGGGTTTTATTTGTTTTAGGGGCTCAACATTGGCCGAGTTTCTTACTGATGGAGACCCAAAAGCAGATGTGATGAAATCCATCGAGGAGTTGCAGCGGTTTGATCCTAGGGGTCCTGATGTTTGCCGAACACTGGCAACTCGCTACTCTAAGCAGTTGTTTGCAATCTACCAGAACAAAGAGGATCCCTTTTTTCTCCCATCTTGACATGGCTATGCGAGAAAGTCATTTCAATCCCTACTTTCTTGGCCTGTACATATAACCATAGTAGACAGTAAGCAACATATAGATACTCGTATTTGTTTTTGTGTGTGTGTGAATATTTTTCAGCTGGTGCTCATGTGGAGGGAGATGGACAGTAACTGGCTAGTTTGGAGCCAAACTGCAGGCTTCATTTTGTTTATATTGTCACTAGCTCTTGAATGAAGGATCATGGTGTTTTTTTGGTAGCCACTAGCCAATGTATAAATCAGCATACTGAAGATTCTTATTAGCTTCTTGTTAATGGCAATTTGGGTAATGAAATGTTAGTCTGATATGACAAAAATTGGTTTGAAACAAAATTAATAATTATTAATTTTATTTTATTGAAATGAATTGTTTAAAATTTTAAAAATATTTTAAACTGTCACAAATTATGGCACGGCTAGCAAATATAAATTTGGTTCCATTTTTTCTGATAATGCCTTTTTTTGTCATTTTTGTGGCTTAGAATTCAAGAAAGTAAAATATTTTTTATGCTTCTTCTACTCTAACATATAAATTTAAAATATTAGATGTGGATTTGAAGGATATAAAAAAATTTGTGGACGAGATGATTGCCTTGCAAGGGTTGGGAGTGGCAACAGGGCATTTGAAATAATTTAGAAAATTAGAAAAAAATTATATGGAGTGGGAAATTGGGTAACAAGGAAAGGCAGAGAGATTGGTGTAGGACCTTCTTTCACCATTGATTGAAATGGCATTTTCTGTAAGAATAAGGATAAACAAGAGATTTCACAAATTTCAGTGGGGCTATTTTGGGATGAAACGGGGCTGAATTATGTCAAATTGGAGAAAGGATTCTAAGACTGATTATAATCATTAATGATAAATATTATACCTGAGGAACCTTCCATTTCAACCGAGGAAAATAGGAAGGAAAACCGGTTGTGATTAAATTATAGGCAGGAAAATCTTTTGGAAGAAAATATTTTTCGATATTTGATATTTTCAGAGCAGAAATTCTTGTTTGGACATTATATGTTTAAAAATATAAATTTTACATTTATTTTATCTTACAATTTATCTCATCTTACTTTTTACCACCTCCTTTTTTCTAAAAAGAAAAACATCTCTGTTTCTATTTATTATATACATGAGATTTACTGATTTCATCTTTTTATTCATATATCAGTTACTTTTAAATTTATGTTTATGCATAATGAATATATAAAGAGTAAACATAATTTAACAATGAATTAATAATGAATTCTTTTATATTTAAAATTTTTCTCAACTTTGGAAAGCTACATTGCGAAAAGAAGCCTATTTTGCTGTAAATATTCAGAAATCATTCCCTTTAACGGAGACCCAAGAAAAGTGAAGGGCAAAATTGTAAAAGCCCATCCAGCTAATTAATGTATAAATAAATTTATTATGAAAATAAAGGTGACATAAAGAGCCAATTTAATACCCATTAAAATTCAACGGACGCCGTGCTGGCAACAGCGGAGAAATCAAATTTACGGAGAGAAGTGACAGGGGAAAGAACGGTCCCATGGGCGGGTAAGCCCCGAAACTTGCGGGTGGGCCCGAAATTCGTAGGAGCTGGCATTTTGTGGGTACTGTTTTTTTTATATAATATTTTTGCGGCCTCGCCGTTCTTCTCTCCCCACCACGCGCTCCGACTATATAAGGGCCTCCGTCGCCATCGATTCCCTCCACCTCTCTCCGCGTTCTTGATCAAAGAAAAGGATTTGTCTCTCTCTGGGGAACTCTGCGCCGACACCGGGTTGTCGTCGCGGAGTGACCGTCGCTGCTTCCTGAGTCCGAAAATAAGAAAGCTAGAAACGTGTGAGAAACAATAAAATACAGAGCAGAATGGCTTCGCGGGTAATGGTGGCAATGATGGCTTTTGTCCTCGCCGTGTTCCTCCCCGCCGCCGCAGTAGCTCAATCCCCGGTTGCAGCTCCAGCTTCGGCTCCCACCAGCGATGGTACGTTTACACATACACATGGATGTGTCTACTTTGTTTATACTACATAATATAACTTGCTTTCTTGTATGGTCAAAAGAGGGTGTTCGGTTTCGACAACCGTAACTGTGTGTAAAGGATTTAGAAAATAAAAAATAATTTGTTTACGTCAAGCACCTATTTAATCCATCAGTTTTCCTTTTTCTACCTCTTCTTCTTCTTCTTCTTCTTCTTCGTCATCAGCTTATTATTATTATTATTATTATTTTGAAATTTAGATGCATTATTGATGGATCTGGGTTGGTTTCGGACTTGACTGTGTGGCAGGAACAACTATTGACCAATTGGTTGCGTACATTCTAATGCTGGTGGCTTTGGTGCTGACCTACCTCATTCACTGAATACCATGGCTTCAATTCTCATCACCTACACCACTTTCTCAGAGGTGGTTTATAGATAAGATGGAGAGAGAGAGAGAGAGAGAAGATTTTACATTTTAAGATGGGGTGGTGACAGAGAAAAAAAAGAAGGAAAGAAATGACCGATGCCAAGTTGAATAGGAGAAGAATTTATGTGTTTTAAGGCTTCTGTAACTTTGTTAATGTTGTGGGTTTGCATCAATTGAATAATGCCCTGCGATTGTTTTAATTCCTATGTGTCCCAATTCTGCTTCCTCTTTCACTTTTGCCTAATGATTGTTTGTTCTGTTTAAGATTTTTCTTTGGGGGACATACAAGAACAAAAACCCGCGAGGTTACCCCTTAAAAAAGGAAGGACAAGAGAGAGAGCAAGAGACCGCAATTTCTCAGTACCTTGCATGTTTGGCATCATCAATATACCACATGGTCATCAGTTGCCACGTGTCTTTAGAAAAGGCTCACAAACAGCCGAGACAGCAATGCTGGGGAAAATAAGACACATAATTATATTTTCGTTATTGTTATTAAAAACCGTAGAACACTTCTTTTTATGTCGGATGATTATCTTTTTCATTATTGTCAAGCAGCCAATCCTACTTCCCGTTCCAGTTGTCTTCCAGTTTTTCTTCTTGTTTTTGGCTTTTAAGACAAACTCGTGATCCAAGAACTTATTCCCATTTTCTGTTTAAAAAAAAATAATAATATTCCCAATTTCCATAGCAGTTAAACTACCAAGAGAGTTCAGTATCCAACATTCAAGGTAGGTATGTAAACGGGTTGAATTCGGATTAAATCAGTCTGATCTGAATCCGAATTTAATTATCAATGTATATATCCAAATCCGACCCGAAATCTTATAGATTTCTACTTGTTATTACCGAATCCGAATCCGATAAAAATCCAAAATCTGAAAAAAAAATCCGATCCAAATAACTGTTAATAATAATTAAAATCAAATAATTAATAAGTATAAGATATATAAAATCAAATAAATTATTATATATGAATGATAAAAATTCATGTAAGATTTATGTTTAATTATTTTTATTTTATTAAAATATAAATAAAATTAAAAAATAAATTGTTATTTATGAATGATAAAAAAGAACTTTTGTTATATAATATATTACAAAAGTGATGATAGGATTCCAATATTTTATAAAACTATCAAGTTTTATTTGTATTATTATTAGAACTTCGAAAATTTTTAATCAATTTATTCAAGTGTTTCATGAAATTTCAAAAGTAATTAATTATTAAAAATAATACCCACTAGAAAAACTAAAATTATGAAAAATAAAAGAATATTATAAAATAGTTTAGAAAAAATATACATTATTCTATTAAATAAAATATCTCACAAATACAAATTAGTATATTATTAATTATAATGTCATATATATTATATTATATATAAAAGTATTTATTAATATATATAATTATTAATTAAATAAAAATTATTATTAAATTATTCGCATTCGGATTTTTAACAGATCGCATTGCTTAATTTCATATCCGGTCCACTTATTTCGGATTACGGATATTTATAATCGGATTTAATCTATCGGACATTTTAATCGTTAAACAGCCTAAAATTCGGATCGGATTCAGATCGAATTCAGATTAAAAATCCAACCCATTGACAGCCCTAATTCAAGATAATCAATGACCACTAAACTCAGCTTAATCATATACGCCCAGGATTTTGTCTAGGGGGGAAAAATTGCCCAAGACTTCCCCCCTTGAGAGAGTTGAAACCTGAAAGAGAGACTGCAAAATGGGTGTTGAATTTCTCTGGAGACTTTTGTTTCGAACTAAAAAGTTGGCTTTCCAACAAAAACCCACAACCACAATTTGTTGTTTGGCATGGGTAAAAATAGCCTCAGAAACTCCGGGGACAAAAAGCGCTTTAAACTAAACTTGATTAGGGAAAACCAACTTCTTCATACACTCTAAACACCAGAAAAGGTCAGCCTTTTACGTCTTACAGAAAAGCCCGAAGCCAACAAAGCCATAATGCAAAAACTTGTGCACTCACAATTGATCCATATCTGCTTAATGTGATTGCATAATCTGATAATTTTCTTAAAACAAACGTCCCACCTTTCACCTGTTCATAACAGTTAGAAGGTCTCATCTTCTTACATTTGGACTCGAAACAGGAGTTAAGAGAACTGAGACCAGCTCAGACAAAAATTGGTTCCTATGACCAGAAAAATGTTACAAAACCATCAGTCAGAAAAAGTAACAGCAAAAAAGTAAATACTGTTTCTTATTTTCCACAGAAAAAAATAAGGGATTGGGAAGAGCGTCTACTGTGGACAAAACTGCTCTCCTTTATGCCATCATATCCTCCTAACTCTTACTCTGTTTGATCCTATTATGTCTCTCAAAGCCTTGAGCATCTAGCTATGTAACAGACCTTCCATGAAGGGAGAGGAACAACCTAGGAAGAAGAAAAGCTCTACATCTTGTCATGTAGTTGCATGGTGACCATGTATAACATGCTTCACTACTTCATAAAATGAAACCACGATCCCAACGGAAGGGCCTGCCCGTCCAACGCGAGGACCAACTCCTGTAAACAACCCTCTCAAGCCTCCATCCCTGCA